ATAGATTAAAATCCTTGGGAATAGATATTGGGTAAGTAAAGGAGAAAGGTTTTTTTTCTGTTATATATCTTTTCATATGAAAGCATTTTGAAACAAAGTCATATTACCAGTCCAATAATTAAAATTAGCAATTGTTATATAAGTATCTCAACAAAGGTTGTAACAGTAAGAATCTCAGCTCTCAAGGAGTTTGTGGTTCAGTGAGAAATACAAATACATATGTTGCCTGCCTCGCAAGAGCAAGGACCTGAGTTTGATCTCCGGTACAAAACAAACAAAAAAACACACAAATACTTAACTATAGTGCTATCCTGATTGCATTATTTGTCTATAACATGTATACCTTAAGATACAAACCTAAAAAAATTCACGAAGTTTCCCAACAAGAGCACAAAAACAGGAGCTCAATCACTGCTAATTCCTGTGTGCACCCAGTAAGAAAGAAAGCCATTGTCTTTTGGTTTTTTTTTTGGGGGGGGGTGGGCACTGATCCCAGGCCCTCACTTTGGCATGCATGTACACTCCAGCCCCACGTTTTTTTTGAGACAGGGTCTCACTATGTAGTTCAGCCTGACCTGGAACTCACCATGTAGCCCAGGCTGGTCTCGAACTCACAGCGATGCTCCTGCCTCAGCCTCCTGAGTGCTGCCCACCATTATTTTTTACAAAACCTTAAAACACTAATATACTTTAAGAAACATAAAAAGGGGCCAGGGATTTAGCTTAGTGGCACTGAGTCTGCCTTACAAGCAAGCACAAGGTCCTGAGTTGGATACCTGGTACCAGAAGAAAAAAAAAAAAAAAAGAAAAACCTCCACTATGGATGAATTTCCTACCTTTGTATTTTTTAGAATCATGAGGTCTGTATTATTATTTCGTATTAGGAACTGCAGATGTAACTCGATAGCCATTTCACCACTTAAAATTTTAATCATTTTTAAAGTCTGGTCCTTGGGCTCTGGACTCTGCCAAAACAAACACGAATAAAACTTCATTAATTATTAAAATTTACAAATCCACCTTATTTCATTAGCCCTAAAACCAGGGAATTAAAGAAATGTATGTAAATACAACAAAATTCTTATTTTAATGGCAGAATTAGAAGACACTATCATTATTTGAAAGGGAGAAAATTTATTTAGTTTTTCATTAGATACCACTGAGATAAGATACCAGCTTGAGGGCTGTGGATTTAGCTCAGTGGTTCTGCTGCCTGCCTTGCACACTCAAGGACCCCAGTTTGATCCC